ATGTGTTGTGCACCTGCTGCTGTAGGTACACACTGTATAATGTGCCTTAAAATAACTGAAATACTGACTTCAGACCAGGTTTTGGTTGGTCATTTGCTTTCCGCTGCCTCAAGAACACAATGCACAAACACTGCACCTGACCACACCTCATTTCAAGAGCAGGTCAGTGTAAGTTTATTAGCTTCTTAGACACCACTAGTGCAAACCTTCCTGTTTGCTTGGCCTGTGTAATCCTGCAGAGCTACTCCTTGTCATTAGGTCTTCTTCAAACAGTTCCAAAATATACTGTCCCTTTTTGTTGTTTGTGTGCTGGACGTTGTGTGGACAGTCACAACTTTGCGTTCATCCTCCTCAGTTTATCTTATATGAAGCTGTGAAGGATTTATGATGATTCCACTGATGATTCAAACCTGAGATATATTCAAACTGGGGCTAAAGATCCAGTGTGTAAAGCTTGTAGAGACTCACCCAAGAAGACTGGCTGCTGTGATTCCTGCCTCAGGGGTTTTATGTACTGAATAAAACGTCTGAATGTTTTTTGTAAATGGGAGATTTAATTTTCTGATCTTCTTTGTTGAGTCACTGAGTGTAGCTTGATGGTCAAAAGTGGCAATTGTATCCATTTAAAATTAATTTAACAAAACAAGAGAGCATGAAAAAACCTTTTTGAGGCTTTTTGAGTCCACTCCATATATTTCACATCCTCCAGCCCATTTGCACTTCTGCACATATGCCAGCATAAATGGACCAGAACAGTAAGTGGGGAGGGTTATGCAGTCTGTGTACCCATCATTTTCATGATCATAAAGAGTACTTTTTTATATTTAATAATGTACCCCCCACATTTTGCCACACTGTGTAAAAATCTCTGCGAGTTTGGACAACATGAGTCTGTTATGATGTCTGTTTTCAGGTGGAGGAGAAGTGGTTAAAACTGCAGAATACTGTTCATCTCTTTAAGAAAAGAAAAAATAATTTCAGAGAAGTTGAAAGTTGTTTTCATTTCATTTCCAGCGCTCCTACGTGATCATTATAGTCTGTGGAGCCAGGGTGTAATTTTCCATCGCAAAGGTGTAATCAGGCGTAGTAAGCAGAAAGCAGAACTCATTTGTGGCTCGCCGTATCGGCTCCCCCTGGAGTTTTTCTTTTCTTTTTTCTCGCGCATAACTGTCCTTGAAAAAAGACTTTCTCTGTCTGTCTGTTTCGTACGTTTGTGTGCTGTAACCTGCACACGAAACCTGCAGAGGTCCATTTATTTTTCGGGGCACACCAGGAGAAAAGGCAGGAGCAAATCACAGGCTGCTCATTCAGACAGGAATGCAACTCTCCCTGGAGAAGGAGGACAATGATTTACTTTCAATGTGAACACAGCATGATGCAGATTCTGAGACGGAGGTATTCTTCTTTTTTTTTGCCGTCTTAACAACCACAGATATTCCGGCCACTGCTTGTTTCTACCTTGTTTTCTGCTCAGGCAGAAACTCTTGGGGGTTAGTGCGACTGACACCTGCCTTAAACAGTCTGAAATAGTTTGAAGGGAAGAGGTGATGGAGCAGTCAGCGGTATGAGGGTCCTAACATAACATATGCAGCATAAGAATCCAAATGCATAAAGTCGAAGAAAAGAATTCAGGTAATTTTTATGTTTGAGTTGACAAACATAAGCCACTGCAGTTGAAATCAACTGTAGATAACTCATGTTAAGTCTGCAATGTTGTCTCCGCAGCCTCTGTCTGTGCTCAACCAAAGATTTGTTACGAGGCAAAGGAAACACCATCATCTTTTTTATTGTGCAACAAGAAAACCCAAGTGGAACACACCATGTTAAAGAACAATCTCACAGTTTGACTGTCGTTCATATTCTCCATGATCCATCTGTGATCCATCTCACACTGTGAACTAGAACTTCAAGAAAGAAGTTGGTGAAAAGTGAGTCAGCTGCAGCCATTCACATCAGTTACATCGTTGTGTTAGACATTCAAACTCTGTTCTGACGATCAAAGTCTTTGGTATCTATAGTTTAGCTATTTGTTGATGTTGAACACTAAACCTTGATAACATCCAATAAGGTTCAAATTCATTTGCATGGACTGTGGGAACTGGGATTTGAACTGGGAAACCTTGAAGTGCTAACCCCTGCAACACTGTGCCGCCCCACAGTGAAGCAGTGTGTCTAATAACGTATTGATCACATAAAAGAAAAAATCAAGTTTTGATGGGCTTGTTTTGTTTGTATTTCTCTCATGGATGAATGTATTTCACATTTGAAAAGTGAAGGTGGCCCACAGTTTTTATTTTGAGTGGTTTTTGCATTGTTCACTCTGCAGCAAGACAGACAGCAGCACTGAGTGTTACCTCCTGTTCCTTCAAAGACATTTCATGTGTGCACTGACTGCAGGAGTTTAAGCGGCACATCTGAAATGTTACTAACACACCTTCACCTCCGTGTTTAATCGTCTGCGAGCGGAGCGTTTAGGGATGGTCTGAATGTTGATGCTGTTTCAGAGTGATGTATGGTTCTCAGTGTAATCCAAGTCGTCCTTGTATGACTCCTCCAGCTCTTTTAGGATTCCAGCTGCAGTCAAACAGGATGGACATGAATAATTCAGAGGTGAGCGGCTCAGAGGTGCCGCCACGGCTGCTGTTTCTTCGTCTTCTTCTCCATGTGAGTCTTCACCTGGAAGCAATTACAGAGAGCTCTGCCTCCGCCGAGGGGACAGAAATGAAGTGTCCTTTCTCGTCCCCAGAGTTTGGTGTTTTTAATCAGAGTCTCAGAGCCAGTAGCGGGACATGTCAACATGCTGTGAGAGGCAGACTCTACATGCTGAGTGCAGCCACCGTCTCATGAATGTGCAGCATAGTTGAGCATCAAAAACACTGAACGTGTGATGCATTCCGGAAAGCAAAAGTAAGCATCTTTAAGATTTAAATGTTAAATCAATTACAGCTCTATTAATTGAAGAATCATAAATAAACTATCATGAGGACTTGTCTCCTGTCTCCATAACATAAATGATAAAAAAAAAAAAAATTATGTATTTTTTGGGGCTTTTTCTCATCTTTAATAGATAGATAGACAGCGTCAGTCTGTGAAAGGGGGATAGAGAGAGAGTGGGGAAGGACATGTATTCATGGCCGTGGGTCAGAATCGAATCCGGGCATCTGCGGGTTGAGGCCTTGCCTCGTTGGGGCAGCAGCTCTCCCCATAAATGATGAAATTTAAGGTGATGACTTAATTTAAGGTTTAAGGTAAGGTTAGGTTATGGGTTAATATGAGGCAAGTTATATATTAACTATGGTCAAGGTTAGAATAACTTTCAGGAAATCAACATGTGTCAATTTGATTGTGTGTGTGTTTAATTCTTCTGACCTATAGAGCCTCACGTTGCCCAGAAACTATTAAAACACACTAATGAGCCACACTGATGCACACGGTGACATTTTCCTTCATCACAATGAACACACACACTCTGTAGTTCATTTTGACTTGATCACACACACATTGTCCTGCTGCCAGGATAACTCAAATGTGGATTATTCCACTGCTGACAATAGTCCCAACATACACTTATTTCCTTTTTAACAAGTTACATTTGCTGATCACCACAGTGGCCGGCTGCTGCAGGAAATGAAAGTCTGTTTGTAAACAGAGAAAACATATATTTGTGACATTTTGTTGTGAGGAAGTCTAATGGACAAAGACATTATTGCTTGTGTCTTTTCATCAGGAAAGGTTGCTTGAGATGTGACTGTGTTTTAGCTTCGTAATGAGCTTTACTTTCACTCAGTTCCTGTGAATCTTCCAGTTTCTTTTGAGTCGATATATCAGCTCCTCATTTACTCTGCTTGTTCCCGGCTCCTGCTGTGTCTCAAACATGCAGAGACGTGTAGTTGTATAAAGTCCCATCCTGTCAGATGTGGCTCTGGGCTCAGTTTGAGTTCCAGCTCAGCAGCTTTAATTGGACAAAGGACCGCGTGGGTTTTTAATTCTGCCGCCTGCTTGCCGCTCTTTTCCCCTAATGAAGCCCAGCCGAGTCGCTTGAGTCTGGAGACACTCGCAGACACCACCAGCTGGAAGGAAAACATTTTGTAATGGGACAGAATGAAGGTCCTAAATGCTTTTTGTATTAATTATTTTTACCTATTCATTTAAAGTAGCTACATTGACCGTACATAATGACAAATAGACATATTTACATACTCACATATATACATATATATATATATATTCATATATACACATGCTAGGCTGCTGAGTGTATAATTCACTATTGATCAAATTGTATTTATATTTATATTCACTGTTGATATAGAGAGGTGTTGATTTATCTAAGCATTTGTGGTTATGTGTGAGAGTGATGTGTGACAGAAAAGCACTATGTATAAAAGTGCTGTATGAGTGTGAATGGGTGAATGTGACTTGTACTGTACTGAGTGTTTTTCTCCTCTATAGGAGCAACATAAATAAACACCATTTACATAAGAACAGACAGAGATAACCAATTTGTAATGGTAAGAATGCAGGACTCAGTCAAGACACAGAACCCCACAGTGAACTAAATCATTAATTCTAAACTTTTTCAGAGTGGTGATTCCAGGGACTAGAGATATCACATGTTCAAATAAGACTATGTTTGCTCGAACTAAATACAAGAAACAAACTGGATGAAGTCATGGCAGAGAAGATGGTAACTGAGTATTATTTCATATTAAGTCAAATGTTTTATTGTTAGTACGTAACATCTGGTTGATGAAGCTTCGGCTGGCTGTCACTGGCTATTTGCAGGATTCTGCTCAATATTTCATTGCTGTTCATTTTACCCTTCAGGATTGTTTAATATTCATGATTCCAAACATTCAGAGCATGTCTTGAGATTCTTCACACTACTAACCATTTATCCTCTAGAGTGGGGTCAGCATTCTTCCATAAAGCAACATGACGACCAGCAGACACTCTGACTGGCTATGATTTGTCTAATGCTGCTTATTTCTGTCCTCCAGGTCTCCTGACAGCAGCGGCAATGACAGACGCTCCCCATATAAGATTGGGTCCCATCGTCCATCACCCATTGTCCCTGAGTGGAGCATCGGCTGCTGCTGACGTCCAATCATCAGCCACTAGGGCGTCTGCACACGTTGCCACATTCATGGGTGAACTGTGGAAACTTCTAGCTGAAGTTCTTTCTGAGGAGCGTGACTCAGTTTATTTTCCAAGAGATTTGACCAATGGATTGTGGAGAAGCTGCTGGATCGATTTCCTCTGTTTGGAACCAAACTCTGTTTCGTTTTACAGGCCAAAGATGAACAGAGCGACAACAATAAGACGTTTTATGGGGAAGGAGACTCTCAGAAATCTCCGGCAACACAATCTTCATGTAAAGAAATGATATATAAATGACTGAACTGAGAAAGTAATATTGTACACAAGTTGATAAAATATGTATCTGTGTGAGGAAAGGCTGTTGGTGTTTCTGTTGGCACTGTCCATCTGCTTATGTGCAGAACATCAGGCTGGTGGAGAAGGTAAAAAATCATATCAGGAATTTTTGTGATAAGAACATATAAATGTGTGCACTTTTAGCAGATGCCTGAGGACATATTTCACAATGTCATTAAATCTGAGTCATTAAATCAGATCTCTGAGGAACAACGTCCTAACTAGGTGAATGTACTGTATAGAATTTATGTAAATCGAGACTGATAGAAAGTGTTTGGGCCTAGTTTGATTTTATTATCACACGAAAATTGTTCCATTTTCCATAGTTTCCCTAAGGTTTTATTTATACAGCTATGCATGTCACAAGTCAGCTGACAACCAGTACAGCTTATGAACAAGCCACTGATGAATGTCATGGTTGATTTGATCACAATATACAGAGCATATAAGAGATCAATCAAGCTATAGCAACAGTTCCTGAACTCAACAATTACAGAATTTATTGCCATTTAATGTGGTACAGGTATCCATGGTGACTAAAGAGGTGTAATTATATGCACATCATGTATTGGCATGAGGCTATTTGAAGCCACAACATCTTTAAATGCATTCAAATGTAGAGTTAAAGCAAAGATCAGGCTGCACCTGACTCCAGTTACAGGCAGGGTGCACGTAGGCAGGTCGGTTAGTGACAGACAAGTTAGCCAATCCTACACGCTGAAGCTTTATTACTGGTGAAGCTTTTGTTTGTTTAGTGAAGCAGCACCACATAGTTTATCACCAACAAATGAGACTGGCTGACCGACATACACTTTACAAATGGTTCAACTTCTCTGGCTGTTCACCACCACCGGAGATGTAACATTAAACAAAACAACACAACACCTGTCCCATTTTATCTTGGACAAGAAGAGGCCTGGATGAAACGACCTTTAAATATAGCTTAAATAAAACTATGCTCATTCTTTAACACGCTTCTCTTTTTTTTTCTGCTAGTCAGTAATCTGAATCGTTAATGATAACCCCAACCAAGACTCCTTCAGAATCGAAAAACAATTCTTAATCAAATCCAGACACCAAGAATCTGGATCAAATCAAACTGTGAGATTCCCACCCTACAATCAGCAAATGTTAGCATGCCAATATGCTGTATAGCAAACAGTTTACCTGCTTAGCATTAGCATGCAAGTACACCTATGCTTAAACACTGTAGGCTATCACAGAACACTAGTATGGCTGTATTCCAATTCTTAGTCTTGTGGGTAATTCAGTGATGTAATGTCACCTCTGATGAGTTCATACTCTGTAAACAAAAGCATGCTTTCACAGTGTAGCGCCTCCCAGTGGACAGATGATACACACTATTTCTGTCCTTGAAATATTCTTCAAGATGTTTGATATTGGTGTGCAAAGTTTCCACTTCTTATCATGAAAACTTCTTCTCCACCAGACCGCATTATGCTTTACATTGTATTTCATATTTTCATATTTTCCACATCATGCAGTCGGCATGGCAGGTTATAATGAAACAACAAGCAAACCATCTCACACTTGAAGCCAAGATGCTGTGTCTGTTTGGGGGGAAGAGGCATTAAATGTATTTTCAAAAGCCTAAAGTTCTATATTTAACTATTTTATATGTTGTATCTTTGTAGAAAACCTTATTTAACGTTGATGTTACTGATTATACACTGGATTCACAGCAGTCTGCAGCAGATGGAGCATTGTTGCTGCTCAAAGTTCACTTTCTGACAGTTTCTCAGCAGTGATGGTAGAAAATGATATTATTCCCCTTTCTGATAAGTCAGTATTTTACAAAATAAACGGTCCCCTGATTAAACAAGGGTCATGTTGGAGGAGGATAAACATCAGTCAGATTTTTAAACTTACTAAATAATTAATCATTTTCAATAAAGCCATTAGTTACAAGTTACAAACCATTTTATGAGGAGGGGCCACTGAGTTTTCCTTCAGTTGTTGTAGGTTGTGTACACCAAATCCCAGAATGCAGTGTGTCTGTAGGTCATTGCCTTAGTTATGTTAGTCTCCATCAGCTGGAGATTAACAGCTTCTCTGTTTTGATGCTCTGCCATTATGCACCATGTTTTTATATTAAAGAGAAAACACAAGTTCAACCATTTTGATCTCAACGTTTTAGAGTTTTTATGAAGGACAAATGCAATGGAATGCATCACAGTGACAATGCATACCCATTATATATAGGCTACTATGTGAATGCCATATATACCACACACACACACACACACACACACACACACACACACACACACACACTGATCAGCAGCACCGGATGAAATATTGCCCATATCAGCGGCCTGTTAAAACATCCATAAAGTTTTCACATGTGTGTCCCGACCCATGCAATTGATCAGCTCCAAAGGTTTATCATCTGGAGATACCCTCTCAAGTGATATTGCCACCAAGTCTGGTAAAAATCTGTCCTTGCATTATTGAGTCATTTTGCCCACACAAACATATAATGGTGTGTGTGGAGAATAAATTACTGTGATTAGGATTCTGACAATCTAAATATTTTACACCAAACAAAAAAGTAAGTCATCTCGAGACAGTGTTCCCACAACAGTGGTAGAAAGTGAATACATTTACAATTAAATATGGGTACCAACTGTTTTGCCATACAATTGTACAACAATTAACAATTGCATTCTGAAACTCTTTTGCTACCCTTCGGTGACCCCTTGTGCAAGGGCAGTGTGTAGTCAGGGGCCACTGGTCACATTTCCACCAAGGAGAAATATGCTTTCTAAAGTTATTTGATAGTTTACTTCTCTTGTGGAAAATACAACAGTTTTTTTTGCTAGTATTGATCTGAATAATTAAGTATCACCTGACCTGAGAGTGCCAAGTCAAATGTTAGAGGTCACTTGAATTTTAAGTTAAAACTGAACCACTGAAAGGATATCTTAATAGGAGAACAAGTTATAAGAGGGTGGATGTATAAGTGTAACTGGTGACTAAAGTGGAAGTGACAGATTTAGCCCCACCACTGAAAGGGGATGAAGTCTAAATTCAATCTCTAAGTGCCCAGTTAAATTTAATATCAGTTTAAGAATATCTGATTAAAAGTGTTGGAGTTGTCAGTTTCAATGTAAGAACTAAATGCTGAATAAAAAAAAACAAGGTCATGAGAAGATGCTGAAGTGTCACACAAAAAAAATGGATATTTAAATTTAAGTGTAACTGGTGTCTGAAATTGAAGTATCGCTTAAAAGAGCTGAAAGCAGTTGACGTTACAGTGAAGTTCATGAAAGGAGATGTTGATGAATAAATGATGAATAAACTAAATAAATGATGCAAAGGTCTGGAGCTTTAAGTCCTGAACGTGTGAGTGTTGGTATGAGTTTAACTGTAAAAGATTAATGATGTTGTCGAAAGTGTTGGCTTGGGTTTAACAGTGAGAGCTGTCGCTTCTTGTTTAAAATAAGAACTTAACTTTGTAACGACCAGGTGAAAATGACACAAGGTGGGGTCAAAACCTGTACGGCTGGCACCTGGTCAATGTGCAAAATTTAGGTCATAGTTGAAACGTTTTGTAGTTACAGTAGTTAGCATATACTTTTGAGTCAAATAGAGCAAGTAAGTGTGTTGATGACGTTTCTAACACAAACGACAAAAGAACCAAAAGATTACAAATATCTCAGAATGAAAAAACTGTGACATACAGGAAGATGTCCAGAGAGTTTTCAGTTAAGGGGCCATGCCAGTGTCGATGTGACATGATGACCACTGCTCACTTGAACACTCTGGAGATTTCTGTGTTGTTGAGAACGAGTGGAGTGTGTGGAAGTTAAACTCCGGAGAAAGTTCAAACTCAATTATCAGAACATCCTCCAGACGTCGTGTCTAAAAGCTGCTTATTTTAACAATCTAAGCAGATCCTCAGATGGTCCACTTTCGCAACCTCAACACAGAGGTGGCTCCTGCCAAATTTCTTAGGGGGGGCAATTGTTGCGATGATGGATAAGGTTACCTGTTTAATGGGTAAATACATGAATCCATGTCGCTCCGGTCACTTTAACATTGAGTCCTGCTGTTCGTGTCACATCTCGTGTTGTGCTGAGCACAAAATATTGAGGAGTTATTTTTCATGATGTTTAAATGGTCTCATGAACTCTGGAGCGAATCAAACAAACACAAAGTAAACTTCATGCACTGATCAGGTCCTGAGTGTTAATTAGTTAAAGTGAGAGCTGCTCAGAGTGGAGGAGGACACAGAAACTCCAGCTCAGTACAAACCAACGTGAAAGTTGTTCAGGTTCATCATATGTTGACTGATTTGTCCAGTTCATCGTTCATAAAAAATATGAACGCGTTCGATGATTGCCGTTCATGTACAACACTGCTCGTCTTGAGTGGCGAGATGATAGGCTTGGTGTGAATGGACCAAAGTGAATCAGCATAGGTATGACGATAGTTAACAAAATGTATCACTAACATCTTTTTTCCTCTGGGAGGGCGGCGTCCTATCACCCCCTATTGACCGGCCCCTGTTTGAACAGCTGAGAAAAGGTCAATGCGCCAGGAAAATTGCTTAAAAGGGGTTGCACTTTCCAGATTATACAAAAGAATGCTTCCCTGCACAGGAAACAGATCTGCTTGAGAAAGTGAAATCTCTCAAGCAGAAGATCTGTGTGTGTCACAAGCAGGATGTAAAAATGTTGTGCACCAGCCTCAGCACAAATTTCTATCTTGATAATGCACCAGGTTGTTAGTGGCCAGCTGCAAAATTGATTCCCGCTGTCGCGAGGTAGCCAAGCAGCAACAATCCAACAGATTTAAGAGGAGCACACCCATAGCTGCTCATAGTGCAAACGCACTGGCCATTCAACAATGTGGGGGCTGTGAGAAATGTGTTGTCAAATGTGTGGAAACTGCTTCAGTCTTGCAAGGTGCTTGGCGCTGATTTCTCCAGGTGTAAGAAAGGGTCCTAAATGTTAACCAGCAGTGCCAAGTAATCTCCAAGCTGCTGCTCAGTTCTGCTTAAATCCTGATTTTTGACAAGATCACCAGACACATAAATGAAAATCACAGGCTGTTATTGGGGATATTTATATGTGTATGTAAAATAATCGGTCACGCAGAGTTTACCTTCTGTCTGGGTAATACATTTCTGCTCCGCTCTAGATACCAGACACATGTATTTGCCTCGCAGTCCAGGAGAGGGCGTTCTGAAAATTTTCACTTTCAACTTGACCCAATCATTAACTTCACAAACATATTTTTTTAAATTGCATTTATAAAAATTTGTTTTCATTTTGTCATTATGGGTTATGAAGTGTAGGCTGATGAGCAAAAATTTAAATTTATATTACATAATATAGTGTAAAGAGTTAGAATAGTTTCTAAAGCTACTGTAAGAAAAAGTGTGAGTTTGAATTACCTGCTTAAGTGTAAGCAGTAAAAGGAGCTGGCCTTATGAAAGGAGATGAAGTGGCAGTTCAACGGACAGAAATTCACAATATTTTACGTTTCTGGCTTCATTTGATAAATTCGTGAAAATTCTTACCATGAAGGTTAAAAAAAAGGTGAAGAAATGTGTTAAAAAGATAATTAAGAATTCATCTTGAGGTGATGTTTGGAGATAATGACATAATGAAGTTGTGACCTCTTGATATCTCCAGATAATGAGACGATTAATCACAAGATGATGATTTTGTTATACAGTTTACTCAAGTGATGTCATCCAGAAAACACAGAGAAGCACAAATCATAATCTGTACCTCAGCAGTGCAGTGGTGGTTTGTGAAAACACTCAAGTGGATTCACATTCAGAGCTGGTTCCTCAGGAGCTCAGACTGAGGGGTGATACACACTCAGTCTCTTTCCCGCTGAGTTCACAGAGTGAACGTGTCAATTTTCAGGCTTCACATGAACTAAAAATACTAAGCAGAATGTGGGCTGATCTCTCTGTGGCTTCACTGTTTTTTACATTATCCTCTTATTTATTAACTTTCTATTCTGGCCTACTTCTTCTCCTCGGCTCTATTAGCCCACTTTTTACACGCAGAAGAGGAAATCACCCCAGTTCTGCCCCCCCTCAAACTTTCTGGATTAGTTCTCTGCACCTTCACATGTGGACTTGATGATTTAAGTCCAGGGAAATTTAATTCACAATGCATCAAGTCAATATGTGTCCTCAAGACCATTCACATGTGGACATTCACATGTGTAGACTTCACCACACTTCATCTGGATAATAAGCCATAAGTAATAATGTAACATTATTAAAGAAAGAAATAGCCATGGGTGTGCTCATCTTAAATCTGTTAAATCTGATGTTCACCGAAAATGACTTTTGGAACGCACCCGGAGAGAACAGAGAAGGGACCGAATAGGGACAGAATATTAAAAACACTGAACTTTTTCTGTATCAAACCAAACCATGATTATTCACCAGCCCTACTTTAATTTTAAAAAACTTTATTGATACTGTGGTCACCACAAGTGGATATTGTACTGCATTATTGAACATTAAACCAAATCACCAAACCAATTAAACAGAAAAGCAGCATCAATGACAGTAAAAATAACCATTTTGTTAATTTTCTCCACCAAATTTACTTGTTTTAACCTTATTTATAACGGTTTGTATATAACTTTATTTTCAGCTCTTGATTACTGTCAGCTAACCAGTTCTTCCTGTTTAAAACAAAATACTAACTTACTTTCATCTTATTTGATTAGGAATTATATTATTTGATCCCATTCATTTCACACTCAGGTACATTATAATAGTAAAGCAGAATATGTTGTTTTATGCTTTAACATATTGACACTTTGATACTCATAAGAGCAATAATAATACTATCAGGTTGTAATTTGCTGTTGCATTATTACAAGCAAATGCTGCATGATCTACATCATCAAGGTAACATCGGTTCAGAAAACATGTTTGAGGCAGAACATGGTGTCATGGTCACAGCTA